CCGGCTCTTGTTGCTGTCCCTCATCGTGTGGCACTGCTTCTCGAGCACCACACCCGCGCATGCGCCCCCGCCCACGCCCCCGAGCGCGTCGAGGACGAAAACGCGGCAAAATACCGCGGGCTCTTGCATGTCCCTGCGAATCATTCTTTTTCATGTTCCTCGTGGCATGCTCGACGCCCTGCACGAGGCGTGTGCGGTCACCGAACACATCCCGGACAAGCCTTCGAAGACCCGGGAACCAGTCGCTGTGCACCTGCAGGCTGCATCACTGAGATTCTCGATTCCAGGCGGGGGCAAAAACCGAAATGCAAGGCGTAAGACTTGAACCAAGTACTTCCCCCTCCGATGGTCCTAGACTGCGATTTGTTCCGCTGTGCTGTTGAGAATATGCCTCATGACCTACAAAATCAGCAAAAAGAAGAGATCCTGCCTGTCTCGGCTGTGGCAAGGAACGTCTGCGAAGCTCGCGAGAGAACTCTCTGAACAAGGTGCCGTACACGTCCGCATCTTCATTGCCAGAAAAAAGGCCAAGAACTAATGGAAGAAAGGACCGCACCCATTTTCCTGCCAGCTTCTTGTGCACGATGGCCGACAGCATCACCAGATTGTAATCGTGCCGCAGGATTTTATAAGTTGCGTCAACAGTGATGGCCCAGGCCTGTTCCAGCATCGTTCCCAACTATTCCAACAATGCAAAAAAGAATATCAGCACCCGAAAAATCAAAAGGTTGAAATACTTTAAGGCCAACGTGTCTGTAGAAGCCAAGCAACAGTGTCGCGAACGGGCTCTGGCAGCAAGGTTTCGAGAAGCATCCAAAAGACTGGGAAAATCATGCACCAGGTGAACAAGGGCTGTAGTGTATGGAAAACAACGCAAACAGCCCCTCCGTCAGGGTCCGCACGACCGTGCTCCATCCACGAACGGAAGTGGTGCCTAGACTCCAGCAGTTGTTCTGTACTCTTGCCGAAAGCTTTCCGTCGTTGCCGCAAGATACTGGCAATGGCCGGCAAGCTTACCTTCCATGGGTCACAGTCATGTGAAACATCGGAGTCGAAAGCTATCATGATGTTTTCGAACCATGGTGAAATCAAACCTGAAAGAAATCCTGCAAGCCCCTCTTGATTGAACTCCTGCCTCACCGGGCTCCAAGCTCATCTTCACAGCGGTCGGAGTAGCAGCACAAGAGTTTGCCAAAAGGGTTTCCGCTGCTTCAAGCACCTTTCTGCGAGCCTCCACGCTAGGCTGTCCTATCTGCGACCCGCCTGCAGCACGAACGACTCGCTCTTCCACACCGCACTCTCCGGCTGTTTCGACCGAAAGCACGTATGCATGCGGCCTCTCACTCACCTTGCCAACAAAACGATAATATCTGCCATCCCCTTGGTAACACGCATGCATCGCCCCACCACAGACCAACCTCTTGCAGTCTGAGTCGGGCTCCGGAAATCTCCAATGGCAAGTTGTCTGGACTCACGCCATTGGCTCACCGCATCCCGCAGAGCGTCGATTGGATCTATCTCATCGGCCGGAGCTGGCAACACATAGTCCTCCAAAGACACATAAGTCAGTCGACGCCTCGTAGGCGGAGATGGCACAGGTACCACTTCCTGCTCATCCTCACGTTGTGCCACGCGCATCAACTTCTGTCTCTGCGGCTTTTTTCAGCAAAAAGACAAGGCCATGCAAGAGACAGATATCACTTTGTGCATTACCGACAGTGACAATGAAGATGA